CTCTGTTTCCTTCACCAACATGTCCATTCAGGTCTGCTCTGATCACCACTCTCTCCTCCCTTGGAATACTCTCTATCACTTTATCCAGATCTTTCCAAAATGTATCTTTCTCCTCCCCATCACATCCAACCTGTGGAGCATAATCACTGACAACATTTAGTATCAGACCTTCTACTTCTACCTTCAGCCACATCACCCTATATGACACTCTTTTCACCTCTACTACATTCTTTGCTAACACCTCCTTCAGGACCACCCCTACTCCATTTCTCTTTCTAGCTACACCATGGTAAAACAGTTTGAACCTTGATCCAATGCTGCGAGCCTTGCTGCCCTTCCACTTGGTCTCTTGGACACATAAAACATCTACCTTCCTTCTCTGCATCATGTCAGCCAGCTCTCTACCTTTGCCTGTCGTTGTCCCTACATTTAGAGTTGCAACCCTCAGTCCTACATTCTTCACTTTCCTCTTCTCTCTCTGTCTCCTGACACGTGCATGTTAGGCTAACTGGTAACTCTAAAGTGTCTCTAGGTGTGAGTGAGAGAGTGAATGGTTGTTTGTCTCATTTGTCTCTAAGTGTCCCTGTGTTGGACTTGAGACCTGTCCAGGGTGTCCCCCACCTCTTGCACATTGACTGCTGGATATGGATACCAGTGACCCCCATGACCCAAAAAGGAAGAAGTGGGTAAAGATGGGTGGATGGATGGACTATTTTCTAGACTTACTTTTCATAGACTATAGAATCTAATTTAGAATTTTTAAATGTTTCATTTAATTTAAATATAAAAAATAAAATGTTTAGTCACATACAAACATTAAGTTGAAATCTGTTAGGGAATATTGAACTGCTTAAACATAGAACATAAAAAATTTGAATTTCTTTACAGTGCATGCTTACCTGTGATCGAGAGGTGTAGCTTCACTGACATGTGCTCTGCAGTGTTATCATTGTACATGTAAAGGCAGTCATATTCTCCGGTGTGTGAAAGGTTTAGTCCATACATGCGGATCGCTGTGTTGCTGTGATCCATCTTTGTGTTTGACCATGGGGATGGTACATCTCTCGTGTGGTAGTATCCATTGACAAAATCGTTTCCCTTTTGTAAATACAAAAACTGCAGCTTCTCTGGATGCTTAACAGGACAATAAAAGGTCACATTTCCTCCAACCACACCTTCGTATTTAATCTGAGGAGAACTTCCTGGAAAACAAAGCAAAAACAACAACAAAAAAGCGAAAGTGAGAGGAAAATCACTTCAGAAGCCAAAAGTTAAGGGAGAAACGACAGCAAAAAGTAACTGATGGTCCACTTTGTGGGGGTGTGAGTTTCGGGTTTTTTTTCTTGTTGTTGAATCTTGAGTGACTCAGTAGAAGATTTTCAGTTCTTCTAATGTTTTACAGTTTTTGTTTTTTTTTATTTTTGGATGAAATTCATGTCTAGCAGTGCGTCTTTCATGGGTGTAATTTTGGATGCTTTCTGGGAGCGTTTATGACTAACTGTCTTTAGCTAACAAACTATCGTCTTTTATTCTAAAGTAATCTTTACTTGTCTTATATTTGCCACTTGGCAGGGGCCAAGTCTTTTAGAGCCATTTTGAGAAAAAACTAAATAGTCACTTTGAGACAAATTGCTACTCACCAATAAGCTTTAGTGTCATTGCACCGAGATACAACGAGAACATGTACGTACAGTCGTCCGAAAGATGGACGTAGTGCACAAAGCTGCTGCTAATTAGCGCAACCTTCTTATTCTTCCTCAGAATAATATTTTTGCTTCGATAAGAAAAGGGATAAAACATGAGGAGAGATGGTATAAAAAAAGATCTCTCACACCTTGTCCTAGACAGGGCACGGTTTGAGGCATCAAAAAAACAACACAGCAAAGCAACATGATACATGTACATACAGGCCGGTGAAGACAATGAATTTTAAGAGGTCGTAGCGTAGTCCAGAGAAGTATCAGAGTGTTAGATGTGTATGAGGTCATAGGCCAACTGTAACTATTTGTTTGGGTCAGTTTCCAATACTGAGACATATTACCAATAATCTGTTTTGTAAGAAATGTTTACAAAAAGAAGATGATCTTATCCCCAAAAACAAGTTAAAATGTTTGAACTTTTCATTTTAAATAGCAGCTCTGGATAGGTTTTACTGTTCCTGTGGTAGATCTATTCATGTGCAACCAAGTAAAGTGCTGTGACTTCTCACATTTTTCTTCTCATCCTTTGATCAGCCTGTGATGTATGTTTCTATGAAACTAACTGGGGGAATTAGTAGAAGTTTAGAGCTGCTCACCTGAAACAGCAACGGACATGGATCCAGGAGGAACCAGCACCAGGAGATGAAGGAGAATTACTGGTTTTCTAGAAATACATAAAATAAAAAAATGTCATTTATAGCGTCTTATTGCTCATGTGACATGACAACAAAGAGAAGTGCAGAGGGTTACAGCACCCTGGCTTACAGATTTTCTGTCTTCATCAGTCATATTCTAATTTCTAAATAAATAAATCTTTAGAAATTGTGATTTTTTTTTTTCTTGTTTTGCAAATGAAACCAAACTTGCACACATTAATACAGGGAGCATCTTATACCTTGAAGTTTCATAAAGTTTAAGATTTAAAGAGTTGACCTTACCTATACCGTTATGGCGTAAAGTCAACTTTAATCAACATATTCATGCAGTGAATTCATTTTGACCAGAGAATTTACATCAAATAGTGATGGTTTCCAATAGTTATTTGCAATTGCCTTGAACTTTTTGAGGTTGACACAGTCCCATGAGGACTGCACGGGGTGCAGGTGGTTAGCATTGCTGCTTCACAACAAGAAGGTCTTCGTTTGACTCGTGGTTGTGGCCTTTCTCTGTGAACTCTGTATGCTTCCCCTGTGCATGTGGAGGTTTTCTCTGGTGTTCTCCCACACCTCAACAACGTGCATGTTTGGTCAACTGATTGCCACAGCTTCTGGTAAAATGTGAGCGAGTGAAGTGGGAATGGTTGTTTGTCTCGATGTATTTTGTGGGTTGGTGACTGGTCAAGGGTGTACCCTTCTCCACTCTTCCAACGATCGCTGGAGATAGGCACCAGCTGACCCCTGACCCTATAATACCTGCAAGAGTTTTATCTGCATTACAAGTCCAAAATATGAACTTCTTAATATTAGAATTGGAGAAAGTTACATAAACTGGTCTCTGACTGGTTAAACTGGTTACAGGTCTCTTTTGTAAATGAGTCATTGTGGCTCAATGAGACTAACGTGTATAAATAAAGGTAGAATTTAAAAAAAATATATGGAGAAACGAGTAAAGAATACAATAAAATAAAAACAAATGGTCCGACGATGTGATACTTCTGCTTTTACCTCATCAGACATTATTGGGTGAGGATACCCAGTCATCTCAATACTGACTACCTTTCCAGCATCACTTTTTCAACTTTCAAAGTGAAGGTAAACTAAAAGTATTCTAAACGATGACGTGCAGTACAGCCGATATTAAGAGGCTGAGGATATGATGGGAAACTAAAACATAAAATGAGTTCATTAGTTGTAAATTCTGAGTAAAAGTATTAGTAAATTAACTTTCACACCACCAGACAACATGAAGTTTAATGGAGCTGACAGATTTGATATAAAATAAACTAAATAAATAAACAACGGAAAAGTGACACTTCGCATTCCAAGGGTTAGTTGACACCAACACGTCAATAAACAGAGACAACTTAACATTAATATCAAGTTGGCTCCATGATTATGACACCAGCAGCCCCACTGTGTGCTGCAGCTTTACAAACGCAGTGCTATCACTCACTGTAATAAAAGGGTTGTGACTGACCTGAATAAATAGAAGTTGAATGAATGAATGAAATGTAAACATCCGTATCTGTGTGTTGCATTCATGTCTGTCCATTTATTAACCACTATCTCATACAACACAAAACAAACTTCAATTAAACTTTTGGAAAATAATCGTAGAGCTGTTCAAGATGGCCACCACAACTATTTGTCCCAAACACAAAAAAGGCTGTGACACGGTCAGTTTTAAAGGCACCGGGCTAAGTTTTGGTATAGCAGCAGCTGAGAGTCATCCCTAACACATACTCTGAGAAGTCACAGATCATGCAAGAGTTTTGTGTAAAACTTTGGTATGGAAGGCAGCAGGCGATATGCACTGAAGGAACGTTAGTTTTTAATTCCAGGCCTCCCTTGCAAAAGAGATTTTTTTTTTTTTTTCCCATTTAGCCTTTATTTATACAGGTAGTCATGATCTCAACTGGATTTGCCTGGTTAAATGACGGTAATAAATTATATGTTATGTTATATGATGTGCAGCACGGTGGCGCAACTGGTAGAGCTGCTGCCTCTCAGCGAGCAGGTCCTTGGTTCAAACCCCGGTCCAGGGGCCTTTCTGGGTGGAGTTTGCATGTTCTCTCTGTGCATGCGTGGGTTTTCTCCGGGTGCTCCAGTTTCCTCCCACAGACCAAAAACATGCATGTTAGGCTGATTGGTAACTCTAAATTGTCCCTAGGTGTGAGTGAGAGAGTGAATGGTTGTTTGTCTCTATGTGTCCCTGTGATGGACTTGCGACCCGTCCAGGGTGTACCCCGCCCCTCGCACAGTGATTGCTGGACATGGGCACCGGCGACCCCCGTGACCCAAAATGGAATAAACGGGTAATGATAATGGATGGATGGTTATATGATGTTATTAAATATAAGATTAAAATGTAATGTATTACCTACACTGTACTACTATGTCGACTGTTTCTCAGTTGAACAATTTAACGACACAGAAGTTTGAATTTCTCAAAATCAACTGGTACCTTCTTTAGTTTTAAAACCCTTTCAGTAATTTTTCATATCACATTGAACTTCTAAGAAAGGGATACTGTATTTCCTCAGATTGGATGAGAAAAGGTTGTTTGATTGTGTTTCCTGTTAATCCTTAGTGGCTGACTTACTGTAAACCAGCACTGATCAGATGGTTTCACTCTTCAGTATCATTCACGTCAGTCGTGACTATAATTGTTGCTATGATTATTCTGTCTAGTTCAAACTTCCTTCAACAGCTCTGATGAATATTCAGGTTGTGTTGGATACGTCAGCTGCTGAAACAAAGTTCACGATGGCGTAAAGACAACAAGGTTACTTACAGGGGAATTAGCAGCCAACTTGATGCCTGTTCAAAAGACAAAGAAGGAAAACAAAAGATGAACTGATTAGATCTACTTTTGCTGAACAACAACCTGAGTCAGACAAGTTTAGTCAAGTTTAGACAAAGTTCTTTTTTTTTTTTTTAAAGGCCTATATTGAAAAAAATAAAAGTAAAAATGAAAAAGTTAGCGGTTCGGTTAAAACTATATACTATTTGTAAATCACATTTTCATTTAACATGTGAAGAGACCAAAAAACATTAAAAAACAACAACAACAACAAAACAGTCTGACTTTCCTCTGAGTGTTATCCTGAAAAAAAGATGTGTCTGGTGTGTTTTCACAAATCAACAAGTTAGAACAAAGTCCCAGCAACTTAACAGAGAACCAGTGGTGTAGTCGATGTGACACGTGGGTATACGGAGTAGAAAACCTCGGGAATTCAGTATACCCATTTAAAAGTACCCATTGATACATGACAAATTATTGGGCATGTGTCACTGTCAACACATTTGGAACATTTTATAGACACATTGAGTTACTTCAACCTGTTTTTTGTATAATTAATACTTCTGTACTTACTTAATACTTTAACATATTTTGCTTTGATACAGTTTTATAAATTCTTTAACATGTTTTTAATACAGAGCCAACTGTTGTACAACATTTGCTGTACATTTATTCAAATATAAGCATCAGAGAAATTTTGAAATGTTCAATATGCTTAAAAATCAAAATAAATTGACAGTTACTAACCAGTATACTACGGTTTCTAAGCACAGTATACCCAGTATAAAAATGTAGACTACACCACTGCAGAGAACATGTTTATCTTAAGGTTAACATGTCTGTAGCAATGAAGGGGAGTTTTGCCTTCTAGTTCTCGTTTTTGATGTTTTCACAGCAACCAATGCTAAATCCTGACATTTTAACTTTAAGTAGTTCCTATTAATTTGCTCCATATTGTTTCTGTGTTTCTCTTTAAATATCAGTTGACCTCGTCCTCACATAGTTCTATGAACCTGCGTCAGATAACATCATTATGATAAACTGCTCATGAGGAAATTAACATTTCTTTGATTTATTTGTTTTACTCTCCTTGTCGTTTCCCAGATGCTGATTTCATATTTCAGGAAACTCCCAGATAAACACATGCTGACCGTTTTTAGTTTTGAAATAATGATTAAATGGGATCAGTCAGAGGGAAATGGCAGACTGCTTGAAATGGTTTGCACCCTCTTGAGAATAATCTCTTGTCTTAAACCTTTGCACCTAAAGTTCACAAAATGACAGCCCAGTAAGAGGAAGTACCAGCAGCAGCAAAATAACCAAAGAGCTGCTGAGATGAAACATGACACCACTCGTAATCTGACGTCTTCCTTCTCTGGTCCAAGCAGAAGCAAAATCAAAGGGGAATCCCATAATTTAAGTAATGAATTAGGTTTAGCATCAGGAAAGGTACCATCTGAAATCTGAAAGTGATTTTCACAGCTATGGACTTTCTGATGGATGAAACAAAAGGGAAATACCGTTTTACATCGTAATATGACTGTAATGTTTCAATGAAGGTTTGTGCAGCCTGTAGTCATCTGCACTGAAATAATGACTTTTGTTAGCAATAAGAACTACAGAGAATGGACTGGATTCATTCTGTTTATTTATTAAAACTCATTTTCAATTCAATTCAGTTTATTTATATAGCGCCATTCGCCTTAGAATCTAGCTGGTTTTATTGTTGTTGTTACCTTTTCCTTTTAGCCATCCTATTTGTAAAAAAAAAAACAAAAAAAAAACCCTGCAGTATGACTTTTTATAACTGTTTATTGTTGTCGCTGTTGTCCATTGTTGTCATCTTTCTTTGTTGAAATCAGGTCTCTCTTGTAAATGAGTCCTCGAGGCTCAATGGGATTTACCTGTATAAATAAAGGTTGATTGACAACAGAAGTCATCTCAGGGCACTGAACAGAAACATCCATCCATCCATTATCTTTACCCGTTTATTCCATTTTGGGTCACGGGGGTCTCTGGTGCCCATGTCCAGCAATCACTGTGCGAGGGGCGGGGGACACCCTGGACGGGTCGCAAGTCCATCACAGGGCCACATAAGAGACAAACGAGACAAACAACCATTCACTCTCTCACTCACACCTAGGGACAATTTA